AATATTAATAAGGAGAGTCTGAGATTTATTTGACAGTGATTTCACATTTCTTGTTTGTATGAAGGCTAAATACCAATAAAAGGTGAACATTTATTTATTTCCTAAAATATTATATAGTTTTATAGGAGTAGGTTTCATAAAGTTGGCAAATTAATTTTTCATAAGTTTGTAGGTACAGACATCTGTTGTGGCCGTTCTTGGCCATTTTTACGAGGCTTTTTTAATAGTGTTCATATCGATATCGGAATTATATCGTATCGACCGAAATTAAGAAATATACTGTGATATAAGTTTTGGCCATATCGTCCAGCCCTAATCACACGAGTCGAAGTGAGATATGGCTGTATATCGGCATGCTGTGATTATCTACGGCACTCGTAGCTACAGACGAATCACAGCCATGCCGATATACAGCCATATCTCACTTCTACTCGTGTGATATTGCTCATATATATATATATATATATATGAGCAATATATACACGAGTGTTTGTGTTTGTGTGTGTGTTTGTGTGTGTATAAAATAAATAAAACAATATTTAATAACCATACAGTAAATAAATAAAAAATTAATTAAACTAGAAATAAAATACAAAAAAAATTAAATAAATAAAAAAGTTAACATGATTTAATTTGGTTATTCTTTTTATATTTTAGTATTTTTATTTTATTATTGAAGCATAGTTATGGATGATACTTTGAAACAATAGCAAGAAAGATGAATCCTTATGATTCTTTCACAGCGAGAGCATCCACAATTTGAATTTTTAAATATTAATATTATTTTAGCTGTTTTTATTTATTTATTTTTAAATTTTTATTTTTATACTTGGATTTTTTTTATTTATTTGATTGTTGGCAGTTATGATGATGAACAATAGCATGAAACGTAAATCAATGTCATGTCATTACATTTTTTACAAATATTTTTAGTTTTTTAAATATTTTTTAGTTTATTAGATTTCATGTTATTTATATATTTTTTGTTTAATTTTGTATTTCTTTTTGGTTTATTTTAGTTTTTAGTTTATATATATATATTTGTTATTTAATTGTTGTCACACAATTATGAATGATACTCTAAAACAATAGCATGAAACGTAAGTACTTATGATGCAATTACAGGATTTTATTTATTTTATTTTTATTTTTTTACTTGAATATTTTTATTTTTAGAATTTTATATATATATAAGTATATTTTGTATTTATTTCTTTTTAGTTTTATTACATTTTTAAAATTGTACATTTATTATTATTTTTTTTAATTGTTTGTGCACATTTATGGATAATACTCGAAGAATACTTTTTTTTTTTACATTAGTTTTTTTTAAAAATTATTTTTAGTATATTCGTTTTAATGTTTTGTATGTAATTTGGCATTTTATTTAGTTTTTTTTTTTGTACTACTTTTTTCATTTTAGTTATTTATTTATTTATTTTTTGTTGGCACACATTTATGGGTGATACTCTGAAACAATACCATGAAACTTGAATCCATATAATGCCATTACAGCGAGAGCATCCACACAAATGCGATCCAAACCAGATGGATGGTAATTTCAGCATGCTTTCAATAAAATTCCCACTGAACCGTTTCATACAAATGCAAATAACTGGCAGCGATGCTCTCCTGCTCGGCCCTTTATAGGCAATAGGTTACCTAAGCAACACTGTCACCTCTCGTTCCATGGTAATGCATGAGCGGAGAGACGCTCTGCCTTCTGGAAGGGTTTTTCCTTCTCCTTTGGCTCTAAGCAGCCCTCAGCCAGTGGCCGTCGATGGCTAACGAGCAGCTGCGTGAGGAGGTGGGCGGTGATGAGAATGAGGCCGGGTCATCTCAGACGCTCTCGAGAAACCTCAACAACCCTCAGACACAAGAGCCGCTCCTTCAGATGCGAGAAATCCCAGCAGACGAGAGCGAGAAACGCCAGCTTTCTCACAGAGACTGCTCTAAAAGAGAGATCATTGGATGGGAATGAGGGAGATTAGAGAAGAATATGTAGGGAAAACTTTGACTCGAAGTTTGTGCTCTTGAAAAATGGTTATAAAAAGGGAAAAAGCTTGAATTAACCAATTAATAATGTCTGGCATGAGTTTGATAATAAATATAAATATAACATAAGTTTCATATAAATAGTATTGTTATTATAATATATAATGCACAACATTTAAGCAATTAATTTATAATAATATTAATTTAATAAACTATTTAATACAAGAACTTAGTGTAAATAAGAATAATATATGTTACTATTTATTATTATTATTATCATCATCATCTTTATTATTATTATTAGATAAAATGCACAAAACATGAAATGTTTTAAATGCTGTAAGTGAATTTAGGCATAACAACCTTATATTTGAAAATATTAAATATGGATATTTATTTATGAGGTCTGCTAAATATTTAATTTAATTGTAAATCCAGTACCAGCTAATAAATTAAATAAAAATAAAAACACTAATTAATTGAGATTAAAAAAGGGTTTATATTATATTTTATATTTTTGTATTCCATTTTTATTGTATTTTATTTTTATATTGCATTACATGGTTTGTTTTTTTATTATTGCCACACAATTAAGGTTCATACTCCAAAACAATAGCATGATTAATGTTGATTAATGTTAATCAATAAGGTGCCATTACATTTTATTCAATTTGATTTTTTTATTTAATTTAATTCATATTATTGTAATGTATGTGTATATGTGTGTGTATATATATACATTTGAAGTGGATCAAAAAAGTTAATCAAAATTGTCCTAAGACAAGAATGCTTTTAGGTTTTAGGACAGCTTTGATGAAAGGTTTTGATCCACTTGACTACTGTATATTGCAATATTTGTTTTGGATTGTACTCAAAATGAATGTCAACAGATAAATCCTTGTCATCACGATCATCATTTTATGTTTGTGTTTCAAGTTATCTGTCAACGTGCGTCTTTTAAAAGTTTGCGTCTTTATCTGTTCTCAGAGTTACGTTGCATTTTCTATTCGCTCCAATTGATTACCATTTTGTGCATCATTTTAATTTGTTTTTAATTAGTTTTTTTTCTGTTTCTCTCTTCAGCAGACGTCCTTGATTTAATGGGTCCCATCATCGGGATGTCGCCGGATAAGAAAGCAGAATCCCCGGGCGTGGTGGAGGAGCGGGCTGGCCTGCGCGGGGTTTGTGGGACGCTGCCCGAGGCCGAGTGCGCCGCCAGCCCTCTGGCCACCAGCCTGGACCGCAGCTCCAGCTCAGGAGACGAAGAGCTCACCAACCTCAACTGGCTCCACGAGAACCTGCTCCAGAACTTCACGCTGGGCAGCCCTGAGGCCCAGACCAGCCCCAGCCCGCTCTTCGACATCGAGGGCAACCACGGCGCCTCCGTCATCTCCTCGGCCGCGGCGCACGCCGGAGAATCCGTCAAATCCAAGCCGCCGTTCTCCTTCTCCCTGCTCATATACATGGCCATCGAACAGTCGCCCAGCAAGTCGCTGCCGGTGAAGGACATCTACGGGTGGATCCTGGAGCACTTCCCGTACTTCTCCAGCGCCCCCACTGGCTGGAAGAACTCGGTGCGCCACAACCTGTCCCTCAACAAGTGCTTCCGCAAGGTGGAGAGGAGCCTTGGGAAGGTGAGCGGTGCAAAGTTAGATGTATTTAGGGCCCTATGAAATCAGTTTTATTTCTTCCCAAATACCGTTTTTGTTTTTCTCGAAATTTCGTTTAAATTTTCTGGATTCCGTTTTTTTCTGTTTTAATTTTTCTGAACTCCTTTTTAATGGTTAAATTCAATTTTATTAATCAAAAAGCATGTCTAATTAGCTAATTAAAATCATTAAACCTAAACAATTTAACATTAATTTATTAAAAGCTTAACAAAAATTACATGTTTAGGGGCCTATTAAATGTTTTATTTTTTTGCCACCTTATATTTTATTGTTACTAAATTCTGTGTTTTAGCATGTCTAATTATTTGAATGCATAAAAACAAGTTTAATTTATTCTTACAATAGCCTTATGAAATGTTTTTTTTCCCTCAGAAATTATGTATTAATACATTTTTTTTGTTATTAAATTTGTTTAAATCATTAATTTATCTTTTCATTAATGAAATTTAAACAAATTAAATTTTTTGGCAAATAAAGGGGATTTACAATTAAAACGCTGAAGTAATATTGTATGATTATTCCTTTAAAAAAAATAAGGTTTTAATAATTTTAGTAGTAGTATTACATATATTCTGCTGAACAAAAGTAATGTCCTACTTTTGATTAATTCATCCAAACTTTGGCAAATTCCGTGACATTCTGCGTTAAACTGTAAATTCCGTTTTTTTTAACTGGATTCCGTCCACATTTTCCGCATCGCAGAAAGCATAGTGTCCTGTTTATTATGGAGTCATTTAACTAATACTTTTCTATGTCTTCTCCTGAGGTTTATGTAGTTCCCCCAAACCAATATGACTTTGTTTATTATTATCGTTAGATAAAACTAAAACTATTGGTTGAAATAAAATAAACATATTAACTGAAATGAAATAAAAATAAAATGTATGAAATAATATAAAATATATAATTTTATAAAATACACAAGAACTTTTCAACATTTCAAATTTTGTTTTAGTTTAAATTAAAGTACTAAAACTGAAATAAAATAATAAATCACACTAAAAACAACAAAAACTAATAAAAATGAAGAATAATAAAAAACTCAACAAAATGATTAAAAATATAACTCAAATTTAAATGAAAATGGAAAAATATAAAAATAAAACTTAAATTTTTCTAGATGGCTGTTTTAACTTTTCTAATTTGTTTAAGCTGAAGTAGTGAAATTACTAAAACGGAAATAAAAGATTATTTAGACATTAAAAAAAACAAATAAAAAAAGGCAAAAATAAACATCAGTACAAAATTTTAACTAAAATTAAAATGAAAAAATAAAAACGTAAACATTTTATTTGAGTTAGATGACAAGGCAACATTTCTAATTTGTTTAGTTTAAGTTGAAGTGCTAAAATTACTAAAACTAAAATAAATATGTACATTAAAAGAACAAAAACTAATAAAAGTGACAAAAGCATACAACAAAATAAAAAAAAATAGGCAGATGCCAAGGCCACATTTTAATTTAAGCTACAAAGATTTTAACTAAAATTAAAAATTATCATAATAAATAAAACTTCAGTTAGATGCACAGACAACATTTCTCATTTTCATTTAGTTTCAGTACTAAAATTTCTTAAACTAAAACTGAATTAGAAATTAATAAAATATATAGACATTAAAAACCCCAAAAACTAATAAAAATCAAAAACACAACAAAACTACTAAAAATTATGAAAATGAAAAATATTAAAATAAAAACGATTTTATTTGAGTTTTATGCCAAGGCAGCATTTCTAATTTTCATTTAGTTTAAGCTGAAGTATTAAAATGACTCAAACTAAAACTTAAATAATGAATCATGAAAAGGAATAAACTAGTGCTGTCAAAGATCGTGATCGTAATCGTGATTAATCGCATCCAAAATAAAAGTTTGTTTACATAATATATATGTATGTGTACTGTGTATATTTATGTATATATAAATACACACACATGCATGTATATATTTTGAAGATATTTACATGCATATACATTTATATATTCGTATTCTTATATTTTATATTATATATAAATATATATATTTAATATATAAACATAACATTTTTCTTAAATATATGCATACATGTGTTTGTATTTATATATACATAATAAATATACACCGTATACACCCATATATTATGTAAACAAAAACTTTTACTTCGGATGCGATTTAATCGCGATTAATAGTTTGACAGCACTAGAATAAACATTATATAGACACAAAAAACAAAAAATATGACAAAAACTTTGAAATAAAAAAAGAAAATGGAAAATATAAAAATAAACTCATTTAAAATATGAATATAATATAATTGCATATTACTGATACTAAAATAGCTCTGGTCCGTAGTCTCAGTCGTGACCGTGGTGCAGTGGTTGTAGCGAGTGAAAGTGTGACGGTGGGGTTTTGGCGAGGATTTCTCCATCCGCTGAGATAAAGAGGTGGGGATCCAGCCAAGGTCACGGCTCCTCCCTGAGAGCAAACACACTCTCACAGCAGCTTATCTCAGCCCAGCGATCCTACACACACACACACACACACACACACCCAAACACACACACCTACACACACACACACCTACACACCTATACACACCTACACACACACCTACAAACACACCTACAAACACACAGACCTATACACACCTACACACACCTACACACCTACACACACCTACACACACCAACACACACACACACACACACCTATACACACCTACACACACACCTATACACACACACACCTACACACACACACACCTACACACCTATACACACCTACACACACACCTACAAACACACACACACACCTATACACACACACACACACACTGCTGGAGGACACAGTGAGCAAAGACAAGGGAAGCAGCACAACAATTCTACTTCCTGAAAGCACAGCAGGATCTTATAGAGGCAGATGCAGAGCAGTCAGTGTTACAGTGGCCTAAAAAACGATTTGGAAAGTGTAACATGTCTGATGACACAAAATATCAAAGCGAGTGTCTGTATCTGCGTGCCTCAAATAATGCGGGATCTGTTCTCTTCACTATCAGTTTTAATGGACTACTTTTTCGGTGATTTTTAGTAGAAGTGTTTTTAGGGGATGTTTTCAGGGGTTTCAAAACTTTTTAATGCCAAGGACCCCAAAATATGATGGTTCAGTTGCGAAAAACCCCTTTACTAAAATATAAAGGTAGTAATATGTTAAGACACACTGTGATATTATAAAAAATTTTTTAAAATAAATTGAAACAATTGAAAAATTGTCAGTTATGTTGTCATTGTGCAAAATCTAAAAGACATGATTAAAATATTACCTACATTTTATTATAAATTCAGATAATTAATTAGCTCATTTTAGTGATTTTCATCCTCATAACCACAAAACAAAATAAATATAAGTAAATTTACCTATTTTTTTTTATTTGCCTGAATTTATTCAAATTTTAAAGGGGTGGTTCACGGTTTCTTTTCTAGGCTTGATTGTGTTTATGGGGTGCAGTCTAACATGTTAATGCTTCGTTTAAAAGGTTTTTTTTTTTTTACGCATTTTTTTCACAATTTACCTTTATTCTACACCTCTCTGTCCCTTCTCCCATAAACGAGCTGATCATTTCCTTCTTTTATGAAGCCCCGCCCTCAGAAATAGGCGATGGGCTCTGATTGGTTAGCTAGCCCAGTGTGTTGTGATTGGCTAAACCGCCTCTAGTCCCGCCCCTCACCTCAGCGGCATGTGCTCTGGTTATATTGTAAACAACGTTGTCATTAATATCGCTTATCAGTTTGAGCCCGATTGAGAAGCAGATGATATTATTGAAGAGGATCGTGCAGAACCTGTGCAAGCATAGCTTTTAATGTAGGCCTATGTTTTTTGTTTGTTGTTGTCTCATACTTTATATGCTGTTTAGAATTGTAATAAGTGTATAATTGTAACAGTTCATTGTTGGAGCTGAGCTGAATGAGAGAGAGA